TTGTTATTATTATCATTTATTATTGTTGTTATTATAATTTATTTTAAAAAATTATTATTATTCTCATTATTATTGTTATTATTATAGTTATCGTGAAAGTCTGTATGAATTGTTGGGACCGAATTATCGTTGAAAAATTGAACGTTGCATTTTGTAGGATTTGTGTTCGGGCGATCGGCAGTGAGAAGTTGGTGTTGTTTAATGGAGAAATGATTAATTTCAGTGTGATATCGAGATGATAAACGCTGATGCGGACTCGAGTGCAGTCACAAATGCTGAACGAAGCACTGTGGCCGCCGAGGTGATTGCATGCAAACCGTCCACTTCGCAGTCTGAACAGAAAGCTGCAGATTCCGATGGTGAAATGACCAAAAAATTGAACGAATTCAGTTTTCCAGATGTAATTCTTTGCTGTTTTATTTTAAAGATTATCTTTAGATACATTTTCTCCATTGCGCATGTGATCTATTGTTAGAGCTTTTGCAAAAAATATGATTTTGAAAATTGATTTATTGATTCACTCTGTTTGTTGAATTAGTCAAGAAATCAGTGCAAATGAACGCATTGATGAAATTGTATTTAACAGTTTATCGTTTATGATTTATTGTTTCTTAAAGGATTCATTTACGGATTCAAATAGTAATGATAATAAACATAACGGTGATAAGGAGGATGACGAGAATTTGGAATGCCAAATGGAATGTGATGATGCCGATAATAAGCCATCGTCTTCATCAAATGATAACGATAAGGTAAGAGATACGTTTGTGATATTGGTGTTATTTGATAAATGTATTTTTTGGTCCATGTACAATTGATTCACGCAGACACAAGTGATATGTTTGTATCGTTCAAAATGCTGTATTTGGAGGTTATTTTGTAGTGTTTACAAAAGACGGTCGGGTTATAGATCAATGCCCAGTTAATTGTAAGCTTAACCTATGCTTTTGGCCGAGGCTCATTGTGGATGCGGCCTGGTCTGAGACTTACTCTGTAATAGAAGTTTGAATTATATTGAAGTCTGAGCACTAGAACTGAGACTTATCCAGAGTGCACGTTGAGGATAGTGGCACTGTCCCATTTCATAAATGCGTTAACGATGGAATTTCGTATTTGGATTCAAATTTTATTTTGTTTTGAGTTTATTCATTTGAATGATTCGTAATCGGTTCATTAGAAAAGTTGTTTTGGTTGATGTGGAGTGTATCCTTTTTGTGAATGTTTTTAGCTGATGTTTGTTTGTATTTCAGTTGAAAATAAGTAATGTGTCATCATCGATGAATACAAAACTATTAGAGGATGATACAACGCATCGAACAGTGGCTGTAAAGAAAAGGAGAGTGGATTCTGGAGAAGCGAATGGGGTGATTTTCTTTGAAACATTCCTCGAATTCTACTGTTTTGCATGTCATAATAATGATTCTGAATAGGTATCATCTTGTTCGATGTTATCATCACAAAATGCTTTCGTTGAATCACTTGAATACATTTTGGGAGTGCAATTAGTAAAATGTAGAATACAAAGTGCTCGGAGTAATTAGGTATCAGTGCAATGGTATATGAATACATCCGTAATAACCACTCTTAATGGTAATATTTATTCATCGTTAAGGCACTTGAAGAGTCATCAGCGTCTGTGAATGTTAACGGAACAGTGCAAAAAGACGGTCGTAATGAAAACGGTACTTGTAGTAATGGCAAGTTGTTGAATTAAATCGTAAATCTTTAAGATGCGTTTCTGTTAAGAGTGTATGTTATAAAATAATTTCAGTTAAAGAAAGTGAACAGAAGAATATCAACGGAGACATGGACGATGTTGGGTGTTGTTCGAATTCGAGGCCAAATGATCGAAAAATAAAGATTGATAATGACAGTGAAAATGATAATGATAAAGTGGTATCAAGCGATCAAACGAGTCCGTCGGCTCGTCCGAATAGTGCTGGCAGTGACAAGGCGACAGATACTGACACGATGATTTCGAGTGTGAATGAGTGTTGTGTGCAGTTGGATGTGGTAAGTTGCGACGTTTGTTTTTGATTGTTTGATCGATTGGTTCGATTTATGGGATCGAGTGGTGATGGTAGAATGTGGCTGACTTTGGGCTTTGTTAAACGTATAGGGCGGTTTGAAGGCAAGTTAATAGATGTAGCTGCAATATTGTTTTGGTCGGAATATGACTTTGTGGGAATCAGCTCTCATCAATCTATTTCACAAAAATAATAAACTGATTTTGATTTTGTGATGAATAAAGGAAGTGGACAATGGTATGACAATGATTGATGGCGACGAGGGCAGTGAGTCGATATCGCCGAACTATCGGCCGAAGTCAGCATCGAGTCGATCCGGTCAAGATAAAGATTCTAATAACAATCGGGCAGACGGATGCTGCAGTGTTGACGATGAAGCGACGTTTGAAAGCTTCGATGACGGCGATGATCGCAAACCGGTGATGTTCAACGGGGAGTTGAAATGTATCCATGGTTTGTGCTCAGTGATCTGATTTGATTTCAGCTGAACAATTTCAGTATTTTTGTTTCATAATCAATACAACGTCATTCGCTTTGTTTCCTTCTAATCGTAGGTGATGTGCATAGCAGAGATATTTGCATTTCAAGACGTATAGGTTTAAGACCGATAATTATAGAATACTTGAGGATTTTCGTTCGGTTTAAAAGTGAAGTGAATGATTTTCATGAGTCGTTCCATTTTCCTGATTGAACTGTGAGCAACATTATCAGATTTAGATTATATTAGATGAAAATATTCGTAGAAATATGTAGTCGCCTTCGACAGCGTATTCTGATAGCGATTTTCAAGTACAGATGAATTGTTCAGGCAAATTTGATTATGCAACGTCAGTGAACACTGAACGACGCATCGTTGTGGACGCGATTGAATGGCATACGTTAGTGGATGGAATCTTCGACAAGAATCAACTGTTCACGTTGAGCACTGATCAGCTGCCTTGTGCGCAATGCGAATGCATTTTCAACGTTAGTGTATCTTGGTTCATTATTTAAAAGACTTGACAGATGATATTTTTAAATGTTAATAATCAGTGCCACTTTGAGTGTTTATTTTCTGCGGATTGTTGTCAAAAGTTCAATTCAGAAACGGAATAATTTTCAAAGTAGAATTGCACTCTGATCAGCAAATGAATAAATTCATCGATTGATGACTGATTTTAGTGTAAACAAACAGAACGCGATGGTATGCAGCGTCGGGTACAGAAGATGCGAACGTTAATCGGTGATTTGCTGAAGAATATTTCGAAACGACGGGGAATTGGGACGGTGGCTGGAGGGGTGGTTGTGCCAGACGGTAGTGAACAGAAGCGGAACGTTTATTCGAGGGTGATTTGCGGAACGTTCTTGAAGAATATCCTGATGAGATTCAAGTTAGTGTGATCAACTTGTTGATAACATTCCATTTGTATTTAATTTCGAAACTATATTCCTTAGTGTCGAAATTGCATCGTTTTGCAATGGAATGCTTCAATTTTGCATACCAATACATTATTCGTCTCGAAGTTTGTTCATTGTTGTTAACTTTTCGCATTTTAGTGCATTCACATTGCGCATATTCGCACTTGAAGAACTCAACTTATTCTATAACATATTCTATCAGCTTCTCGAATGATGTTTTGTGCTGTTCGAAAGTTTTTCTTGTAATTTTATTATAAGCAAGCGATACGGTGCACAAAATTGCAATGAAACACTGAAAATTTAAGGGCTGGAAACGCACGTGATCCGAATCCACCAGCAATCTGTCAAGAATGCATCCTTTGTGATGAGCATCATTTACCCTGTGTTCCACTAGCGGCGGACAATATGGTTAGTTCTATTCTCTTTTTTGAATTGTTTGAAAAATTGGTTAAGTAGACGATTGTTTAGCTTTTGTTCTGCTTCAGTTTCTCGTTAAGTAATTCATTATGATCGCCGCTTATTTTAAGGCAGTACCCGTAACGTTGGATGAATGGAATAAAATCACGACAACTCTCGGACAAAATGAAGAGAATTTGTTCGTGATTGCATTGAAAAATGGTAAAATTTGCAGTGAATTCTTTTCTGTTATTCATTTTTCTTTTAGTCATCTGAAATTGTTTGATTTTTATTTGATTGAAGGCAATTTGCTTGGTTTTTGTTGTGTAGATGTCACTTGCAGATGAATATGAACAATTTTGTCAGTCGTGTTTCGAGAAGCGACGTGAAGAAGAAGATCTACAGCGTTTTGTGTTCAAATCAGGCGAAATATTCGTGAAATTGGTTTCTTTATGCAGTTTTCATTTGAATTTTGCTCGATTCTGTTTTTTGCTTCAGTGTATTATATACAGTTTGACGTATACATTCTTTATAATGTATATATGAAGCAGATTTCTACAAAGTTCGAATGCGCATTGATCAAATCGATCAAATCACGACAGGAACAATCCAGATTTATTTAGGTTCTTATAAGGAAATACCGTTGATTCGAAGCAGCTATTAGGCGATATCTGTACAGTGTTTCAACTAGTGTGTTGCGGGGCTGGAAGAAAAATTCGGGAACGGGGAAAGTCGGGGACGAAATTCCGCAGTCGGGGACTCCGAAAATGCAGTTGGCTGGGAAAAGTCGAGGACGGAGCCCCGAATCCGCCCGAACCTCGTAACACACTAGTTTCAACGATCTTTTTGAGTAAAGAAACGTTTTATTTGAAGAAAAATGATGAGAATGAAGAACCACCATCGGCAAAAGTCAGTAATAGCAGTAGTGTGAATGGAGGAGAATATGAAACTACGATGAATAATGGAACAAGCAGTGAGGTGATCAGTGAAGCGACCCATCAGCAGCAGCAGCAGCAGTTATCACCTCTTCTGTATAACGCACCGTCAACGAGAAGAGCTCTGGCGAAAAGTTGTATGCGATTTAGGGTTAGTGCATTCGGGGTTATTTAAAGGTTGTGTTTGTTTGAGTTGATTTGATTCATAGTTTAGTTTAGCGTCATTGTGTTTCTTTGATTGAGAATATAGGTGGGATTTTGCTGTTTCGTTTTTGAAAAATTGTTTAGTTTTGTGTATGGTTCGATGTTTGTGAACTGTATTATTCGTGAATTTATTCGCTGAGTTTGATTTGAGTAATTGGGCATTGATTGTTTGTTGAATTCAAGATTTATGTGAATTTATTCCTAGGCAGCTGACTAATTGAGTGATTGCGTACAGGCTAGACGTAATGTTAGAAATAAATTCATTAAAATGAAATGAGAACAATTGTTGAAAGATGATTGTTGAGCGCAGGAAAAAACGCGGAACGTTTGGTGAATGAAAGATATTGATTTCAGATGGCTTCAACGGACACCATAATGCAGTTGAAGTTGAAAATCTACGAGAAAATCGGTCAAATGCCGAATGATCAGTTGATTTATAAGAATGAAAGACTTCTCTGTGATACGGTTCGTTCGTTGATGGTTTATGATTTAGAGTTGCA